CTGCCTCAAAATAATTCTCTTGGTTTCTCTTCGCCAGTGCTACTCCTAGGTCTGACCAAAGACGCAATGTGCAACTCTGCGTTTACCACAATAGACTCCGGCTATCATCTCACTTGCCTCTGTAAATCCTTGTCGCTCATGCTCCTGCCATGTTTTACCCGTCATGCTATGCTTCAAGGTGTAACTTGTCGTCCACCAGTCATGCGATGGGTTTCCCTGGGTAGCAATACCACTGATCAGTTTGATTTCTGGCGCAAAGCTGACTTGAAGCCAAGGAGTTGAATCCATGTAACTACTGACCCAAGAAAGCGATTGAACCTTCAAACGGGCATCTTTAGCCTTGTAATATTTGAAATCCGGCAGCCACCATCCATCCGATGAGGCTGTTATTTGATGATTCAGTATCCTACCGTCTTCCATTCCCACTGGGGGCGAACTGCAAACTAATTATTCCATGTTCATTTATTTCATGATTTCATTATCGTCATCACAATTATTATCATCATTATCCACGCTGCAGTTGACATAATCTTTAATAGACGAGAGAGTAATGCTTGAGAGTCTTTCAACTGATAAACTGTTTTGACCGAAAAAGGCTATATATATTTTTACCCTTTACGGTGGCCAATTTACGTTTTCAACTCAGTTGTTAACATTAAATTACCTGCCATTATCCTTATAATGTCATTATATTCTCAAGTCGTCATAAAAGTGATGAAAAGAAAGAAAATGTCAGGCACAGTAAGCATAGAGTTTTTTCATCGCCAAATACTTAGAGCTAAAAGAAATGTTAAGGAACTTCGACGAAACAATAGGGATAATTTACACGTAGATCAGGAGAGTGGAAAGGTTAACTTAGACTCAATTTTCGTTGACTCTCGCCTTCGGACGAGCATGGGCTCGTCATTCTGAACAGTGGCTACTGGCTAACAATAAAGTCTTTGTATGCAAACATCACTTTATTCATGCAGTGTATAAAAATACCTTTACACGTTTCTCCTATGTAATGATATCGGCATTGGCACCTAAAGCCTGGAGCTCCCGCCAAATCGACACACTTCCCCTTATTTCTACAGGGCCAATTACCCGAGCATGATCCCGCGGGACGGGATGGGTGATCAAAGTACACGGCATCAGGAGAGAAGAAAAACTTTTCAGGACGAAGGGAACGAGTCACATTGTTCAACTCGCACGTCTTTCTGGGAAATTTATAATTGAAGCTGTAACAGTTTGCATCCCGGTCACATGATAAAATACACGTCGTAAGGGATTTCCCGGATGTTATCTTGAAAGGGCGACTAATCAGAAGGTAGCCTCTGATAGATACGACCGTGTTGCAATCATCCAGTCCAGCGGTGGTTGAAACGAACAAAAATACAAACGCTTGATATGGAGACATGACAAATCCTGATGGAAGAATGGAAAACTATTCCTTGCCGTAAGTACACCATCCGAGGCATCTAATCTGGGTCAAAGAAGTGTAGGATTGATTAGATTTTACCTTTAATCATAACCATTACAGTTTCCTCAAATGTGATCTAGCATTAGCTGCTGTAATTTTCACTAATTATTCTGCAGAGTTGTAATCAGACAGTACAATCGGACAATTGGCTGTAATCGGACACCTGTAATCAGACAGTTAAAGTAGCCAATCATGTGAAGTCCACTCAGCTACATCCACCAATCAAAGAATTGATTAAAATAACTATAGCAACAACCACTTACCCGGAAATTCGAAAATGGGGGAATTTTTCACTGTAGATAATTAATATTGAAAGCTCTTTCTCAAATTAATGTATTGGGGTTTTTTTTTTTCGGAAATTGTAATTGTTATGAAAAAACGGTAACAAGACTTTGTGTCGTCCAGCTTAGTCTGTAATCATACTCGTGATTGATAAATCGTACGCTCGCTTCGCGGTCATCCGATCCGATTTTGTAATCACTCCTATGATTACAGACCGAAATGGACTCCACTCGGTTCTTTATTACCAATACTAATTATTGGCGCCAAGAAAGGAAATTGATTACAGACAAATGCAGCTTATATACAGCGAATAAAAAAAAATCAAATTAACCTCACCTGTTTTGTTATTGGCATTCTCCGTCAGATCTTTAAGCCTTGAGCAAAATTCGGTTTGAAATTCCCTGAAACTTACTCACTTAAACGAAAAGTCGGTAAAGGAACAAGTAGGACTTCAGACTGAAAGCCAATAAAAGCGAGCAACTGAAAATAAAGATGATGTAATCATACGAACTTCTAACTGCAAACCGAAAACCAAACAAAAACTGAAAATTGTCGTTTATTTAGCTGCCCAGGTGTAGCTGTTAACAATGTGACTGAAAACTGATCAAAGACAAACACTAGTCAAACTCAGTTGTTTCTCCTAATTAAGTTATTCTGTGTCTTGTTTATTTTACAAACAATGAAGAAACCATTGCTGAATTGCAGCCATATTCGTGTATTGTGTTGCGTTTCATTTGCTACTTTCAACCCTCGTAATTAAAAATAGAAAACACCTCTAAATGTAAACATTGGAGAGGAAATGGGTTTTCATGTTTCTGCAAACCATTAAAAGAAAGAAGAAGACAAATGAAGTGACGTCGGTTTTGCGTCGTTCAATTTAAAGCTTCGACATCCCTTTGCGCAACCCCTGGCCATTTAAACTTCTTAAGATCGGTTCCTTCGAATTCTCCCCCCCCTGGCGTTCAAAGGCCCCCGCAAGCAAAATTTTTTATTGAACGATTGAACGATCTTTTGAGTGATCAACGAATGTTGCAGAATTTTGCAGTTACATAATAGTTTTTGATGCTGCTGTCGGGTTTTCCGCTCATAAGCTTCATTCTGCGATTTTTCTGCGAGGCCATTTGCTCACGCCAGCGGACTCTTTGCCTTTAAACTTCTTCATATTTAAAATCAAAACACGTGTATTCCGCTGGTTCAAATTCCCCATCCCATCGAAGCAACTTTCAAATTTCCCACCCCCGTGGCTCGGACGACAATGAAATGCTAATGGCCGTGGTTTGCCAGCAAAAAAAGGAGGGGGGGAGACTTGATCTCGTGCGAACAAATGAGGGAAAACTGGTAACAAGAACAATTAGCCCCAATCAGGTGTGCAATGCTTTGGGAGGAACGTCGAGTTTCGCAAAATGACTGAGGGGACACTTCGTTGTTAGGATGAACGAGTATCTGATAACCTTTGAAAAATTCTTCAACAAAATATATTAGAACAACGAATTGCGAACTGCCCGATCTAAAGTCAAAAGTTATTTTGGTGATCCAACCACGGCGAAACGAAATGCAGTCAACAATTCCTAGTAATTAATAGTCGCTTTTTTATTTTTCCTTGCAAATTCAATTTGAGAGCAAGTTGCTTTTTTCATCACCAAAAGGAACACAATTTTGCTTTAACCAAGCCAAAGCCATTTTGATTAGATTCTGTTTTATCCAGTTACACGACTAACTAATAGATCACTTTTCAGCTCTAAGCATTGTCTTATACTGCACGGATAACTTGCGCCGCGGACATTAAATACATTATTGTTGTTATTATTATTATTATTATTATTATTATTATTATCATTATTATTATCAGGGGCTTAGAATCTATGTGCAAGTCCGTCTATAGCCTATATCCGCTATAGTTATTTTTATTGGTTAAAATTTGATTTTAAATTTGTGAAAATTTTTTCTTTGATCGTATCCGTTTCTATGGCATCATTTATTACTTTGAATCGGTGACGCTATCATTAAAGCCGTTGTGAGATGTTTTCCCAAGCCATAAAGCGGTTGTGTTCTAGGATGATTAACAAGCTCATTTTTTCAAGGTAAAATCTCAGTCCACACTGCTACATGATAGTTTCAATTAACTCCTTAGCAGGGTAGTTTGTATGGACAATCTTTTCCGCGAATAAGCGAGCTTATTTTCTCTTTCTACGTTTGTTATCGGTCAATGGCAACCATTGCACGAAGGCTAATGGGCTCGCAATTTTTCCCGTCTTTCGTACTATACTTGTGTGAGAGATTATTCAGCGT